TCTGTGAAAGGGGAGGAGGATTCTGGCAATATCCAATCACTGTTGATTCTGAAGCATTTCCATGTCTCAGGAGAGAAGGCGATGATTGCGCCAGTATTATTATCCAGGATATTTGTTTTTCTCACAGTACACAAAAATGCCCTTCTCCCTTTTCCTGGAATAGTCCCGCACTGGAATGTCTAGTACTTTGCCATATGTCTAACATTGTTTCATTATAGGAATCAATGAACACGGACACTTCATCAGCGGTTACCCTCATTTTCTAGACAGATTAATGGGGTTAAGATAAAAATCTCATACTCCCAAAAGAACCCTTTTCCAAGAATTCGTCGAATTCATCCTATAGGGTAATGAAATCGATGGTAGAGAGTCAGCGATCTCAATTCTTCATATCCTCATCCGCATTGAAGGGTCAATATAATCAAATTAATGTTTAAATATACGAGGAACAATCAAATATAAACAACCAGAAAATCGCAATATGAAATACCTGTTATTCCCTATTGATGGACGTCCATAACTTCCAGTGAATGTTTGCGGAGTTTGTGCAAAGATCTGCCATGACTGGGAACACCATGCGACCAGAATGAAAAGAGCAATCGTTTCAGCAGCATTTCGTTCACAGTGCCTTGTGCGTGCAAGGAAACTGGGCGCGTCACTTGACTGATCTTCGTATTATTTCAACATTTATTTGATTGGAACAGATTAATCAGAACATGCCAACGTTGTACAAAATTCTTTTCAAGGTGAAATGATACGTAGGGATGTTCAAGATGCAAGTGTTCGTCAACTCCTTGGAGGCCAAGAAATTAGCATGAATTTTTCAGTGCTCTATATTCAGCAGTTTGGGTGCTAGAGCGCTGACGAAGACTCATACGTAATGCAAATTGCAATTTTCTCCGATAGTGAATGCTTTCTCTGCAAGTGTTATGTGCTTAACCTTCATTCGGTATGCCTTCGGGTTACCCCACTCTGATTTAAAATGCAGGATAATGACAAACCTGAAGGAGAGGGAGGAGGAGAAGGGATCCTGTGAGGGAAATAGATATGGACTCTAATACTCCGGAAGACCCCTTCACAATCTTCTTTATGTCTAGGGGCGCTGGAGGGAAATTCTTGTACATCCACTTTACGCCCTTCTGTGTGAGGATTTGAAGGATCCTCTCCGTCTCCTTTCCCTCAAACTGGGGTACCTCCTCACTAGTTCCTGGACAAGATAGAAATTCGGGAAATGTGAAGGGACAAGAAAAATGACAGGGTAAAATTAAGATAGCAAGATACTTGAGTATGAACGGTACTCCAATATTGAATAGGGACAAATTTGGTAATAAACGCTCTCGACAAGGGGATCCGAAAAGGATACGGAGTTTTTATTGCTAATAATGCCCTACTCTCGCCCTTAAATGGTGCGATTAATGGGCCAAAATGAATATTTGTTTGGGCGCATAGGACCCCATCACATGGACAACATTTGAGAGAATAGGAAAATAAATAACTAAGCCAGTGGAGGAAGAACGTATGTTCAAGACCAATCGAGATATGAGATATTTATGATCCTGGTGCGGACATTAGGTGGTTTTGAATGGACCTACCAAACGATTGCGCTGGAGTAGTTTCACTCATTCCTTAGCCATATGTTAACAATTTAATGCTTTTATGAATGTTTTTGTTAATGAAATGCCTCCATAATGAGCTTCCCAACTGATCATTCCATATGTCTGGAGAAGACGTTACATTTTTGACTTCGTCTCAGAGACAGTCAAACAGGATATGATACGCACACCTATGAAGCATAATGACGTCAGTAATTACGATGGATGATCGCCACACTGGTGTGGTATTTAGCTCACACATGCCTTTCTGCGAATGGATTTTGCCTAAGTGACTACTTTGAGACAGTGTCCAAAATGTAAAATGCTTACCCGACTTATGGTATATACCTTGTAACATTTTTAAAATAATGATCCTGAGTTCACTTTTGACGTATCGAGTCGGAAAGGCTCTTCCCAATTCATGATGGAATCAAAGTTAATATTGTCCACGCTCAGCAGTTGAGCCAGAATGTTAGCATTAGAAGCATGCATATCTTTTGCACTCTCAACCAGGAGCATCCACTTCCAATAATAGCAACGACAATACCTGAATATCCGGATTTTCCAGCTTTTCAGATTCAGTTTCGGATTTTCGGCAATGAAGATTTGAGTTCATGAGTGTTATTCAGTAATTCGAACACTAGTTTTTCATCTGTGGGTCCAGGATACTCCAAAGGTATGGTTTGCTGGAGGCATCTAGAAATAGCCATTTCGATGGCAACAACGTGTATACATGATGGAGATGTATGTCGAAAAACAGTTACAGGGCATTAATGTTTTACTTCTTTTCGAGGAGAGAGTTCGGAAACTTTTCAACTGCCCCTAGGAGTCCACACTAATGCCAGCGCACGTTTTTCAACGATATAGGTGGGATCTTTTGCAGACCTTCTGCGAACCAACGTTATCATGTATTCGGTACCCAATGCCAGGCACCCTTCAATAAGGCCTCCATAATGAAAACGTACCGTCTCCTGAATGACTCCCTCATGCTGTCAAGCAACAATATTTGCTAGAGAGCCAAATGGAGCGCAGGATATATTGGGCCATTTGGAACGTAAGACTGAAGTGGCCTCTGTGGTTGTCTGCTCGAGTGTCAGAATTCAATGTCTTTTGTTCAATGTCTGGTTGTTCGAAACATCAACTAATTGCCTCACTTGAATGCTAAAAGGCGGGTATAACTGAGAATTTGCATATATCCAATTGAGGGTTCCCTGATGAAGTGAGGATCCCCTATTATTCATCCAAAGTGTGGCACTTTGAAATTCGAACGTTATCCTTTTCATAATTTATTTTCTCTTGCTGCTAATAACAAATTAGACCTGAGTTATTGATGTCTGTTGAAACGTCGTTATCAGCGAAGAGGATCCCGTGGGACGCGGATGTGGTCTAATACTGAATATCCTGAAGGGATCCTGAGAACTCTGATCTAAAATGCTCTCATGGAATAGAATGAACACTTTCCAGTCAGTTCAATTTGTAATGCAATGGAGATCTCCGGACCTAGTCCATGTTAGGACATAATAGGGTTAATTTCACGTGGGAGACAACGTTTCGAAAGTTACAGTGGGCTTCACACTATTGACTTAAATAATAACCCCTATCTGGTTTGTTTCTATGGGAGGGGGGGGGGGGTTGTTGAGCACGCATAGCTCTGAGAAAATGGCCTCGCATTTTTTGCTTATGCATTCATGTGAAAATGTTTTGGCATGAATCGAAAGCGGAGAGAGTAGAGAATATTTTCTAATAGAATTTAGGCGTATTGCTCATGAGTATAACGGTATAAAAGCAGTTTTCTTGATCGATATTTGAAGAAAAAAACAGTGGCAATCATAATTTATTCCATTGCTGGGTACTAAAGATGGAGATGTAGTTCTTTCGTGCATTTGAGTGTAGGGGGATCTCAGTCCTTCAGTATCACGTGGATGGGAACACGAGAAGGAATCTGGCTGGACTGGATAGATCGGAAATAAATTAGGAAAAAATAATCCCATGTGCGCCGTAAATAGAGACTTTGCTGGGCATTGCTGCAGCTATTCCACCTAATTTTAGATGCTGCATCGATCTGAACGGGGAAATTGATCCGTCCAGCTTGTAAAGCCATTCGGCCGCAAGTGATTTGTTGCCAACATTAACTTATTATTAAAATTTATTTCATTCCTTCAATGAAAATCCTTTCTAGATTGGTTCTCTAATTCTGACCATTATGCAGGTTGGGCTATGAAAAGGTCAACGTTTAAAAATTAATCACATCTAGATAATAATAGCCAATGTACTCCTGTCCGCCGGAGGCCTGCATGGGTCGACATTTCCGGGCCCGACCCGACCCGATTGGGCCAATTCGAATCCGGAGCTCAAACGCCAAACGATCATTTTGAGTCCGACCCACGGATCGTGTTGGACCGATCGGTCCGGAACGCAGCCCGCTTGAGCTTGATAGAGCTCATCCCCATTCCCTGCGAGCTCAAAATCATCGCCGGAGGATGATTTTGAGCTCCACAGGTTACGTCCTCCTGTATGTCTGCCTGAGGCTTGCACGGATGAACTTTCCATCGCCAGACAGAACTTCATACATACCCCCCGCGGGTCATGTATGGCCGATCCCATCAACCCACAGCCCACTTATGCCTCTGAGTTTAGAGCTCGGGGTCTCTGGTTTCGTCTTTCAATCTAAGCGGCGCTGCTGACCCATCGGGTTTTCCCATGACGTCATGTTCGTGTGGGTCTGTCGTGTTTTCGTCGTTCACTGCGTTTCGCTGCCTGGTGTTTGCCGGAGGGTGACGTCATTTAATGACGTGATCGCGTCGAGCGCTGACGGAAGGAGGTGTCCTTTTTTCGCAAGAAATTCTTCCGGTAGCATATTCTCCTGCACCAAGCAGGAAACTTGATTCCAGACTGAGATACCGGCTAGATTCGTCGGTCCAATAGAGTTAAAAATCAGGAACTAAAATGGGAAATTTGAGATCTACTGTATGTGGATGGGAAGCTTCTTCTCTCCTTCATTTAATGCACGAAAGTTTTGAATTCGTACAAATTGTCCCATTTGAATGTTATAGAACGAAACCTGTATTTTCCTATATAGGGTAATCCTAGGATTGGTCTTAGGGAGGGGCGGGGGGGGGGGGGCGGGCCGCTCGCAATATTATTGATTCGTAATATGGCCGTTCAAAATTCCTGCTCTGTTTCATTTAAATTTTTTGAAAGAGTAATCCATTACCTTAAATTCGAAGACCTGAATGCTTCACAAGTACCTGCTAGTGTTTATTGTTGCAAATATAAATTTTAACAAATAAATTTTTAACTAAATTTTCCGCAAATCATCTACCACATTGGATGTGGCATAGGTGACCCAGAAATTCCCGACTCTACGCAATTACGGATGAAACTCAATGCTAGGAATCTTTAGGAAATGTACTCGGTGTCTTATGTGCAAGTCATTTCCCGAAATTTTCCTTAAAAAAGACCAAATCTGTTTAATTGTTCGTGACATTACCTACTCATGTTTTGCCAAAGCATGAGCATTTAGTTCCGTTAGCATCTATCGTTTCCCCTCTGTTGGCTTGTGAAAACGGAAACTTTTGAAGCCAACTGGTATCAAGGGTATTCCAACGCAAGATTTTCAATGGATTTGGAATGAGGAGACAGTGGCTAGTGGTTCCAATTCTTCTATGACAACTTATGATCCGTTATATGTACACTTTACCCCACATGAGATGAAACTTATTCCTGTGCGAACTTGAAAACCCCATTCACCACTTCATCAGCACATCGATACACTTGAGATTAAGAGTCGTGTATTACAATACAGTTAAATAACTGTATTGATACAATAGTCGAATAAATGTTTTCGGAAAGCCCAACTCAAAGACAATGCCAGTCTCTAATGACGAGAGAGACTTTCATTACCTTTATGACTCGTAACATAGAGGCGGAACAGTGGAGGTCCCTTTCAGGAAGAACAAGCGGTGTAAAGGGATTCCGTGCGGAAGTGCGGCTAAAATCTTTCCCAAGATCCTCTGCTTCCTAGATGACGTCATACCTTGATTTTATAATGCCCACCGTTTAAAATTGATGACTATGCTACTTTGGTTTCTAGTTCTGCATGAGTCAGCAACGAAAATAATAATCGCCCCTTCGTTGAAGCTTTTCAGGCTAAGAGTTTTACCACAGACATTCTTGAGAAGGCCTGCTTCTATCAATATTTCCAAGTGTACCAACCGAAGTAGGAGTATGAGAGTAAAACCAAATTCTCAATTGCTGTACATGCAAAATGTAACAATCCAAAATGATTAATCATGAGAAAAATGTCATTAGCCTCAGCCGAATATTTTTGAATGCCCTCCGGAGCAAAAATGATTTAAGTTCAACATGGCTATGCCATAAAATAATCGGGAAATTGAGAAATTAGACAACGTCGCGCCTTCCAGAATAAAATCAGCGCATGAGCATGCATTGGTAACATGTTGACAATACGAATCTGAAAGAGACGGGAATTCTCCCATTAAGTTTCAATATTGCCCTCATTTATGGCCATATATAATGAAGGATCATATTATTATTTATTGGCCATGCCGTAAACAAATGGACTCTACCAATGTATCGGAAATACGGGCATCGGCCGCTGGTGTGGCAGCATCATTGTCATCGTCTATTAGAAGGTCTGCAACCTTCCGATGCCGAAACGCGAATTAAAACCTGCTCAGGGTAGAAAAAGAAAAATGAGAAGCCTTTCTTTAACGCCATTAGGTGAATGACTTTGACTTGAACTGGAAATTTTCGGACTGTCAATATGAGTTGATAGGTGCGTCGACGTTTCTTGAAGTTGGATAGATGGAGGCAAGTGGTAGCTCGTGTGTCAGCTATTGCGAATTGACAATTTTAAATGTCAGGCAATGACGATCTCTTGATCCTGAAGATCACGAGCCGCAAGCGTAGCGTACTTTTGTATTTTCTTTGTCCGTAACGATGGTCCTCCCACCACAATCACGAGCGAGAGATGACGGAAGATGGAAAGAGGTCCGCGCGCCAACGGAA